TCAATATACCAAGGCAGATAGAAACTACAAATCACGTCATATTGCTCAATTCCATACATTTTCATCGAATGTGCAAGGAAACATTCTTCTTCTATTTCCCGGCTTGATGGAAAATTCCAATGATTTGACTTCTTTTCCAAAAATGCATTTGTTGAGCAACTATATGCGACTGACATCATCCACTGTCTCGTGTTGGTTATCATTATTGCTTGATGACTTTGAACATATTACTTCTTTTTGGCTAGTTGTATCAACATCATTGTATCACCCTTGAAAAGCTTTTTTTACTGCATCATTTGAGCTTCATGTATTCCAGCTTGATGTAGCTTTTCAGTTGTTTCCTGGAGCACCCTTCTGGACCATCGATGTGTTTTTGCATTTCTATTCTACCTCTTCAAGTGATATTGTCGTATTGAAAGCCTTCTAATGCGACTATTAACTATGGAATCAATACCTTCTATGACATGATATGTATGAAACATGTGTTAATTCCAAGGTAATTATCCTAGAACAACTTTCAAAGACCTCACAACGTCCCAACATGTCAAAGCAGATAAAAAATATTTACGCCTTCGTGTGGCGTTTTCTTTTTAAAAGCCTTCTAATTTTGATAAATACCTTGGGTATTAACAACATGTTTATGCATAAAATTAAGCAACGGAACAAGTAAAGGTTGTTAGCAAAAATAATAATCAAAGAGAGGAAATATATGTTAGTGGGATATGAAAATATTATTCAACTGGTAAATGAACCATAAAATATAGTGGATAAAACACATAGAGGAAATTAAAACCCTAACCGCATAATTTATAGTTCACATGCATTTATTCAAAAAATACTCCATTAAAAGAGAATGTTAGAGTTCATTTCTCCTTTGTGTACACTTATTTGGGTACCTATGGACATAGTTTTAGCATTGCCTCAGATCGGGTGAGTTTCTAAGGTTTATTATATGCAAAGTTTTGGTTCTAGGAGTAAATGTACTTGAATTGTCTTTGTCGGTGCCCCTTGGGTGAGCCAGACACTCAATCTTCACCCATTATAAGTTTAAACGGATCGAGTTCAATTCGAGAGGGCGCATTTCTCTTTGCCTGACACGGAGAATAAATCATCACGAATACATAGGGCATATGAACCCCGGAAGCTACTTGCTAGGTCTGACACGGAGAATAAATTCTCACGAAGACGTCACTTTCACTCCCACTTAAAGGTGAAAGAGCTCACACTTAAAGGTGAAAGAGCTCGAGTATAAAGCTTATGTTATGCAATGAAGTGTCGTGTGTGAGGAGAAATTCTCAAACCTTTAACAAACAACCACACTAAAATCAAGCCAAAACGAATTCAAAATTTCAATATCAGAAAATCAATCAAATACAAACATTAGTATACAAGGATATAAAATAAAATAAAATAAAAAAATGAAAGAAATAAAAAGAATCGTAAATTAAATAAAACTGAATTCTCAATTTCTAATTATAGAGACAATATATAATCGATTTAGGGCTTGATCCACGAGATCTCCAACGGAGTCGCCAAATTGTCGACACCGTTTTTCTTCCGGGCGGGGAAAAATTTTAGTACGACTTGGGGTTTTCTTTAAAAATGTTTTAGAATCGCTATCGACCTTTAGAGTTAGTTAAGTCGAATACCTAAAAATTTTCTTTTAAAAGTATTTTTAAGAATACATCATTTTAAAAGATAAATCAGTCTATGTGTAACTAGAGATTTATTCTTTGTAACTAGAGATTTATTCTTTTTTGTAATAAAAAAGGGGTTCGGGGATCGATTACGTGTGAGAAAAGATAATCACCCTCACAATGCCCAAATATTGGTACCCCATCGATTATAAATTGTCTCTAATAATAAAAATCTAAGAATTCAAATACAAATTTAAATTACGATCTAATTATTCCAAATTCAACCATGCAATATTTATTGAATGAAAAATTCTAAGAATGAATAAAAATTATTCCAATATTTCCAATCGAAAAGAAAATAATCCCCAAAATACTTTAAGACTAATATTTCTCTTTCCTCCGAGATTAAAATAATTTGATTTGACCAAATAAAAATCAATTAATCTAAATTACAAATTTAATTCGAAAAGATAAAGAATGTTCAATTATTTAAAAATATCAAGACTTAATCCCTAATAAAATTAGACGAATTGTCTCGATAAGTTTAAATAAAAAAACATTTCTTTTTCCGTTAATAGGATATTTATTTATTTTAAAGTATCAAAATAAGACATTTAGTTACTTTAAGACGGGTATTTCTTAATATTTTAAAATAAATAAATACTACCTTTAATCCAATTATGAAATCAGACGAGTTATGCTTATGAGACTTTTATACATATTCGAAATGTCTAGATCTAAATGCACAAACAAATTTACATGAAAAAGGAGGAAAATTAAGTATTAGCAAATTATATGTAATATTACAATATATCTACTATGAACATAATTAAAGTGATACTAATTTTTAAGCTTAATTCGAATATTAATATAATTTAAAACTAAAATCTAAGAATTAAAGATATGGAAAAACATTTAATAAACTTAATTAAAATAATTGAAACAACAAATTAATATAAAAAATAAAAATAGTAAAAAGCAACATAAAATAAAAAATAAAATAAAATAATTACAAAGACCTAATTACAATAAAATATAATTAAATTGATTAAAATGCAAAAAAATAAAAGTTAGTATTTAAATACTAAATTAAAAATTGACTAAAATGAATAAATAGTAAATATCACATCCAAATCATAATAAAATAAAAAGCAGAATCAAAATAGTGGCCAAAATGAATAAACGTAAAATTCAGTGACTAAATTTGAACAAAACAAAATAATAATATTGACTAAATTAAAATAAAATAAAACAGAATGATAAACGTGTAATCAATTATAAACAAAAGGTACAATGACCAAATACAACAAATAATAAAACAACAGCTAAATTATAATGAATAAAATAGAAAAATAATGACTAAATTGGATGTTAGTAACATTAATATGTATATTCGAAACAAATAATAAAGTATATAACCATAGTGTAAAAGAATATAAAATACGGGAAGTTTAAACATAATTTTATCCTCATATTGACCAAAGCGTAAAATAAATTGACATTAGAACCTAGACTGCAATTAATCCCCTAAAATAAATGAACAAAATAGAAACTCCTAGAAACAGGGGATCTTATACGTGATTAACCCATGAAATAGGTGATCAAAGCAGAAATTACACTGGAATTGGGGACCTGACGCGTGATTTCCTCAAAAAGGTTTGAAATTTAAATCCCATTTGCTTTTCCAGAAGCACTTGAAGGCCAAATAGAAAAAAAAAACTGTGTCCATTTTTTTAAGAACCAAACTCTCCTTCCCACGTCCATGGCTCGGCCGAGAGCCACCACATACTAGCCGTGAAACTGCACTACTACAAGCCTCCGACCACTCCCAACGGCGATGGAATTGACCGCTACTTAGACCTAAACCAAAAGAAATTCTTTTCACTTAAAACCCAAAAATCAAAAGCTTAAAAGCCCAAACCGACCCCCTTTTCGACTGGCTCCTCAACACCCGGCGACCCAACGACCCCGGCGAAGGACTCACCCTACTCAGGTAACCAACCTCTCCTCCCTACTATTTTGCTTTGATTCGAAAATCACTAGAAATAGGCTGCTGAAAATTTTAAAAAAAAATCTTTCGTTTGAAATGTTGTGTTGTATTGCTTCTTCTTACTATTACAAAGTATTCTCTCCTTTGCCGAGAGAGAAGAGGAAACCCCGGGGACAAATTCTCTGATTCTTTCCCAAAAGGACAAGAGAAAGCCAAGAATCCCCCCGTTACATTCCTTTTCGTTTGGGTTATAGAACTCATTTACATAAAAAATAAACTGTTGTTGATGGTTGATGCATTTGGTAATGAAATGATGTTGTTGCAGAGCATGGTGGGGGTTGGTGTGCAGCAACAGGGTATGGCAGCGTGTTGGTGTTGCGTGGAGTGTTGGATGACACAGTATGGGGCTGCTGTAACCAGGCATGGCTGATGGCGTGGAAGGTGGGATGTCTGCTGGCAGTGGCAGGGTGGTTCACGTGATGTCCCTAATTGGATCCGGGTCGGGTTACAACCGGGTCGAACTTGGGCTGCTGAGTCACTGATTGGGCTTGTAGTGGGCTGAAAATCGGTGATTACACCATCCATGGTAAAGCTTCCAGCAAGTCGACGGTTCACCGATTCATTGGAAGTCGGCCGTGATTGTACCTTCAATAGGTAAGTGGAAACAGTTGAACAAAAGCTTCATCATCCAGGTGATGAATGCTTGAAAGAGTAAAAATATGATATATATCATACTTTAGGGATTCTCCTAGTAAATCATGGGACTAGTCTGCTTACCAACGGAATTAAGCTCTCATTGGATCGTAGCTAATCGATGTGCACAGCCTCGTCCCTTCCAGTTATGAGCTCCAAAAGAAACACCCTGAAGCTGTAGACGTCACTCATTTCGGTGAAACTTCCCAATGCTTCCACCCTGACATCGATGCACAGGATGAACTAGGTATAGGTGAAGGTTTCTCTTTCCACAACATTAACACAAATTGCATCAGAAGAAATGAATTTACTCCGAATCTCGGAAAACATTGATGCTAGAACTGTGAGATGGACCTGCTTCTTCTATCTTTTCTAGTAACATTGCGATCCCTGCATCTGCAACCTCATCAGTGAAGTTCTCGTCAACCAAGACATTGGCCTTTTTGAAATTCTTATGGATCAAAGGAGGTATCAGGCTATGCAAATGGCATAAACCTACATTGAGAAAACACAATTTCCTCAGTTTGAAACTAGTATTACTATAGTATTCCTCCAAATATTTTTTTTCAGATTTACCTCTAGCAGCCACCAGAGCAATTGATAACCTCTGCTTGAACTCTAGTCTGGTAGAAGCCTCTCGTCCAGTATCCGCCAGAACAAAGGACGAGTGTAGCATTAAAATTGATGATCACGAAAAACTATGTTGTTAATGAGTAATACCGTACAGATGATTGCACATACTTCCATTAGGTATACATTCATAAACCAACATTTGAGATCCTCTTTCTTGACAGTACCCTGGAAGAGTAACCAAATTTTGATGTCGAATCTCTGACAGATAGATTACCTGTTTGACACTCTTAACAAGTCATTTTCTTTTTTAATTGTCTGACTTCAGACCTATCAGAGATAAATAAAGGAAGCATTAACAGTTTAAATCATCTTCATGAAGTGTGCAAGTAACATATTCATAAATCTCAACTTATATCATTACCTAGGAAATGACTTTCTGGATCAAATTGTTGACATAAAGAACCATTTGAAAAAGTTAAATTAATTTCATAGGGGATTAGGGATTTCCAAGTTGTAATGTAGTTGACACAGATATCTATTAGATACAACATATGTAAATTAGAACTGGTTTTACCCCAGCATTGTACTCCTCTCTTGGACCACCTTGATGTATTTTGATAGCCACAACATTGTCATGAATCCGACCTTTATAGACCGGACCGAAGCTTCCAAATCCGATGAGATTACTATCGGCAAATTGCTTGGTAGCTTGTTCCAACTCTTCCAGCCTGAACTGCCTTGCTCCTTGAGGTCCAGCCCCTTTATTCCACTCAACTGCAATGTTGGAGCCGTAGTTAATGAAAATATCAACTCAAAAACTGTAGCATGAACCACAGTGATTACTGCAAGTTCGTTGCATTGAAACCTTACTGAAGAAGGATCCGAGGAGTCTGCCTCCGAATTTCTTATAGGGAAGTTCTTACATGATTTGTAAAACCCTATGAATCCTATGATTACAGCCACAAATACAAGCGACCCTGCAGCTCCATTGATTATAATCACAATTATGGACATCTTCCTTACTTACCATTGAATCTGTGAATAAAAATAACAATAGAACAACCAGTCAAATTGTCGAATTTGCAATTATGAAGAACAATAGAATTGTGAAATTGAATACTTTGGTTTAGGAACTCAATATTGTTTACCTGCCGCAGAAATCGGAGATCAATTGGTCCTTATGACTGAACTTCTTTATTGACATCGACAATTAAGCATTGCTGATAGTACTTTCAGTGCTGACAAGTATTCAGAAAGCAAACTGGCTGGTATTTTATGTTTGGTAAGGTTCAATGCTCTGCTGAAATATGAATGGCAGATCATAAGACAACTCATTTGCTTTCAAGTACCCACATTTGAGTTCAATATCAAGCATCTCATCGAAGTGACAACGAAAAAGCAATATCACTGAAGATCATCTTGTCCTTAAAACCTTTTTTTTAAAAAAAATCTGTTTGCTTTTGTAGCAATCAAATCCCCTGCTTGGTTCTCCTCTGAACTTCAAAGCATTTTACACTAGGCAAACCCAAGCCTAGGGAATTTGATTAATCCTTCAATATTTAAGTTGTTCCATTTTACCAGACCATCGGTGCCCCGAGGAACGGTCAATGATTGACCATAACAAGCTCATCTCTTGGGCCACAGGTACAGTATGCCAGCATGTGGAAGGTGGGGGATTTTCTCAGTTAAAAAAAAAGTTGTAAGCCCCTACTCCAACTGTCTATACTCGACTACTGCATCTATGTTTCCATGGTAAAAGAACTCTCTATGAAGCATCTTAAATAAATTTTCTTAAAAGTTGAAAAATAACAATGAGTAGCATAAGCAACAAAATATCATCACAAGCAACTAACAGAAGTTAAAGAATGCAAACAGGAAAAAAGAACATTCAGTAAATGTGCACCACTCACCTCAGTTCATGCCAAAACATGTCGGATCGGTCGTGCAATAAAGGTTCCAAAGGAGTAAGAAAGTTATCGTCAATACCAAGCTGTCTTGAAGAGGTGGAAGTAGAGCCATCAAACTTTCATGTCCAGAAAAAAAAGAAATGGGGACACATCAGGGAGAATGATTGATGGATCCCCAAGGATAGCCTGAAGCTCCCTTCGAATCCATGCTTTTATTCTTTGCATAATTTTCTCTTTATCAAAAGCATTTCTGGGTACACTCTGAAAGCAATGAGAGAACACATCAAGATCATATACTAAACTAATCTGCTGATTCATGTTATCTTCGTTCTTTGTTTTTCTTCTAGAGTGCCTTTGCCTCGTATCTATGTTCATCAAGATAGGACTTAAGGATATGAAACTTCAAATATATATGAAAAAAAAATACTTCAAAAACCAAATAAAATAGGTGACAATATGCAAAAATTGCCAACCTTAAACCATGTAAACATGCCTGCTGAGAACTAATCCCATGAGACAGGCACAGCTTGCAATCTTCAATTATACACACTACAAAAAAGAACCCCCAAAAATTTCCCCATCAGCAAATTTCTTTTTCTTCTTTTTCAACACCATAAAACATAAGAATAATAATATAGCTAAGCTGATCAGCACAAAGCACCTGGCACGCCATTGAAGCTTCCTTTCAACGATAACATGAAGTGACACAGTCCCAGCTCGCCCAAATGATGGCCGCCAAGTCAATGGCCTCAATCTCCAATTAACACTGTTAATTTCTCGCCTTGTTCTTTCAATAATCCTAAACAAATAAATAAAAAAAGAATTAACTTAAATAATCAATTCTTTACTCCATTTAATGTGTCAGAAAATAGCTAAAAAAAAAACCCACAGTCGATGATCAGTTACGGTGGACCGAGATTGATGAATAACCGATCTGCACTCCGGTAGAGCGGGTAGTTGCTGTTTGAGGAATCTTAGAGAGGATAGATCGATTTTGTAGAATCAAGAACTGAAGGTGGAATTTCACAGAGGGCATTTCCTCTTCAAATCACTCCACCTGTGAATGCAATCCAAGCAGTAAGCGTGGGAACAAACCGTGAGAACATCCGCTCCAGGCACAATATGATTTAAACTGAAACATGCCTTACAAGTTACAATATTTTCTTCTTCCCTCCTTATTGCTTAAAAGTAGATCAAACTAAAACTCAAAATACACCTTATAACTCATGCTAGTTTACAACAACTTCTAACTTATCCCAGCCGTATGAACACACTGCTTCACATTCACAACTGTCTATCTTTATACTACCACTTGAAACAATTCATATTAAAATCGGTCTGTCAGATCTTAAGATGAGATCCACAAAAAATGTGGCAGTCCATAAATCTGCAGAAAAACCCTTATCGACCATTTCCGTCAGAAGATGTACTGCATTTGAGGTGTAGTTGTTTTGAAGAAACACTCGGATCATCACATTATAACAGCAGCTACTAGGCAAACCATCATTATCTCCCATGCTTAACAACTGGTATGCTACATCTGGCAATCTCTCTTTACATAAACCATTGATAATTATAACATATGTGCAAACATCAGGTTTCAAACCATTGACCGAGAGTTCACGAAATAATTCCTTTGCTGTTTCGATATGGCCAGCTTCGCACAAGCCGTCAATTAGGATATTATAACAGACAATATTGAGTTCCAACCCACTGTTCTGCATTTTACGAAAAATTTCCAATGCCTCTTCAAGTCTATCATTTTTGCAGCAACCATCCAGCAGAATCGAATAAGTCACTAGGTCTGGAACTAGTCCAAAAGCAAGCACCTTTCTCCAAATTTTGCATGCAATAGAAACTCTCCCTAATTGACACATGCCTCGCATAAGAGTGCTGTATGTGACAACATTAGGCTCAATCCCTTGATTTATCATTGTGTCAACAATACCTTTAGCTTTGTAAACCGCTCCCTCCTTGCAATGGGCATCCACCAGCATGGTATATGTGACAACATTAGGCTCAACGCCTTGCTTTCTCATTGTGTCAATGATATCTTCAGCTTTGGAAACCATCCCCTTCTTGCAAAGTGCATCGATCAATATGCTATACAAGACAACATCGGGCTCAATGCCTTGCTTTCTCATTGTGTCAACGACATATTCAGCTTTGGAAACCATCCCCTTCTTACACATAGCATGAATTAAGCAACTGTAAGTAACAGTAGTTGGTCTAATATCCTTAAACTCCACTTCTGAGAAGAGATTGAGAGCCTCCTCTATCAAATCATTCTTACAAAGAAGGTCAATGACAGTGTTATATGCTACAATATTGGGTTCAAAACCTCTTTCTCCCATCATCCTTAAAAACCTAAGGGCTCTTTCGGTGTTTCCAATCTTACACAACACATTAAGTATCATATTGCAAGCAATTAAGCTAGGTTGATGCCCCTTTTCAATCATTTTATTAAACAAACTCACAGCTTGAGAAATCTTTATTTGCTTACAAAGTCCTTTAATCAAAGTGTTAAAAGTCACAACATCAGGTTCAATACCAAACTTTAGCATTTTCCCCAAAACAGAAAATCCCAAATCAATTTGATCTAATTGACAAAAGCAATTAATCAAGATGTTGAAAGAATAAACATCAAGGGGAACTCCTAATAATTCCACCAGGCGATACATAGAAACCACAGTGGCATAATGTTTCATTCTAACAATGGCTCCTAATAACATGTTGAATTCAACAATGGAAGGCTTTGGATACTCACCAATCATCTTATGAAACAAAGTCAAAGCATTGTCAACATTATCGAAGCAATCATACTTTTGTAGCTTTTGCTTCACAAACATAGAATTCTTACTTGATGTTTCAATGAGGGTAGTAACAGTCTTTAAATAACGTGAAAAACAAGGGTGGGAAATAGAAAGATTAACCGATGAATGAAGAAGAAATAAAGAAATAAGCTTACCCATATCTTGAATTTAACCAAAAATGCTTTTGAAATTCGAGTAATAAAAAACGAGAGTACAAGGACACGATAGAAATTGGTCCTTGGGTGATGGGAGTTCAAATTTTTAGTACTGTGTGGAGAGATGTGGATGATACAGGTCGGTTAGGGTGTTGGGGTATAAGGGGTCTGGTAGAGCAGAGAAGAAGAGCAGATGGGCGGTGGTGTGGCCGGCTGAGGTGTGGGAGGGTGCTGTCGGGTTTGGCTTAAGCTAGGTGATGGAGAGGGCATTGGTGAGGTGAAAGGCTGCTCAAAGGAAGGGCGACAGTGGTGCAAAATGGTAGACGCGAGGAGGTCTAGCTAATGGTCGGAACTTGAAGCGACGGCCGGCGGTTAAGACTACCGGAAGATGGAAATAGAGTGGGACGACTAGGGTTTCTTTTTAAGAACATTAGCCGGCTAAATATAACTGGAAAAGTGATGAAACAGTCCTTATACTTTTAATATTTTCTGAAAAGGACAATAACTTTCATTTTCTTCTGAATATCACCCTAAACCTTGTAATCTTTCACATTTATTCCCAAATTTACAACATAATCACAACATGTAATCCTACTCATGGAGAATTTACAGGATCGAAGAAGCAAAGAAATACATATTGTCGTGACAGTCATTCGGGTGGGATCGAAATCGGATTTCGACTTGAATTAATGTGTTAGAGCTACCACCAGTCATTCAAAATTAGGTTGACCAGATACCTTCACTTACCATTTGTTTGATCTTCGTTTTACCAGAAATTAATCAGATTAGGGAGTCGATTACAATCAAGGAAGGATTAGCATCCTTGTACTGCCCTTTCGGTACCAATTTGATTTTCCAGCTGTCTTAATTGCAAAAATTAAAAGTTAAATTAAAATTTAAAAGTTTGATCCAAATTACTTACCTTTGAAGAATTTTAAAATTGACCTAAAAAATAAATCAAATTAATGTTAAATAATAAAATAAATAAATAAATATTAAATAAATAAAAGAATAAAAAAGGAAAATTCAAATAAAAATGGACTAAATCGAAAAGAATTAAAAATCAAGGATCAATTTGATGTTAATTAAAAGCTGTAAGGAAAAACAAAGTTAGGGGGTTAAATTACAAAAATATAAAAAATATTATAGGGATTAAATTGAATTAATTCAAAATTCCAAGGCCAAATTACAACAGGTGACCAAAATGAATTATGCATCAAAATTAGAGGGAATGCAGAAATAATTTAAAAATCTTGTAATTACAAGGTGGCCCCCTATAAATACCCCTAAAAACTTAAAAAAAATCATTTTATACCATTTCATAAAAAAAATCTCCTTCACCCTCCCTACCGGCCAATAGTCGGCCCCTTACCGATGAAGTCGTCACCGTCCGGACCTCCGTCCCGACTATTGCCTCCTATGGCCAGGGACCTAAAATCTACCCCTTTAAAAGATCTCAACCCCCCGAGGCTGGAACCGACTCTCGAACACCAAAATAACGCCTCTATTGGCGTAAATCTAGGAAAAAGATTTTCCTGATTTACTTGTGTTCGACGTGACTCTTTGTTATCCCAGTGATCGTTTCAAGTTCCGGCGATGACCTTCCTCCGAGCCAAAAAACCGATGCTAGCTTTGATTTTCCTTGCTATTTTCAATTTTTTTGTTGTTGGATTTTTTGCTCTAATTTGCGATGCTTCTTGTTCGATTTCTCTTGATGTGTTTTAGTTTTTCTCCATGGTTGATGTGTGTTTTGCTTGGCTTCATCAGACTTTTTTATAGCCTCAAATCTGGTCGTTGTAGCTCCGAAAGGGGTGAGATTTTGTCCAATTTCTTCGTTGGACATTCGACCGAGTGTTGTTCATGCAAGTTGTTACCCCGATCTTGTGATTTTTCGACCGAAAATATAGCCCCATTTTTCGAACCGTGCTGGCGTGTGGCCTCCACGCGCGCTACTACCAATAGCTTGGTTTCTCCGTACGGCTCTAGTGCTAAAGTTTGTAACCCTAATTTAACTTGGGTCGGGTCAAGCTCTCTCATTCCAACCGAGCCTACTTTGTTGGGTCAGGCTGACATGGTTCGGTTGGGTTCCATTTCTGGACCCGAACCTCTGGACTTTTATTGGACCTAAAAACCTAATAAAATAAAATAATATTGATATAATATAATAAATACATAATACTACATATAATATATATATATATACTAAATATATTAATATATATATAATATATACACTATATAATATATGATATATATAATATATAAAATATATTAATATAATATATACTATATAATATATAATATATGATATATAATACATAATAATACTATTATATAATATCTTAATATATAATATAATATCCTAGACGAAAATAGGTGTCTACAGCTACCCCTCTTTGTCCATTTATCGTGTATCGAAAATAGGACAAAGATAAAATGATACAAATTTTCGTTCGGTATGAAGGTGTCTATAAGTCTATTATCCTCCATCGTGGAGTTGAAATTTGACTCAAAGATTTCAGTTAGAAATAGCTCCTTGCTATTAAGTTGAATTACAGATAACTCATTCATCGTGAAGTTGAGTCAATTTTGAAAAGTCTTGAGCATGATATCTTTCGTCATGAAGTTGAAATCGTGATTGACCCCTTCGTCGTGAAGTCGAGTCAATCTTAAATGTCTCGAGCATGATATCATTCACTGTGAAGTTGAAATCTAGCTCGATGCCTGGCATAGGTGATGATTCTTCGTTTTTGTGTTAAGATAGATTGATTGGATCTTCTTCAAGTCAATATCCTCCGTCGTGAAGTTGAAATTTGACTAGATGACCATAATAGAGAAATAGTTCTTCATTGTTGAGTTGAACTATGCTGTAGATAACTCATTTTCCATGAAGTTGAGTCGATCTATTGGGCACAATATCCTTCTTCGTTAAGTTAAAATCGTATGTGAATCATTCGTTGTGAAGTTGAGTCTTGATTGAAAGTTCTTCTGAGCCGGATATCCTTTGTTGTGAAGTTGAAATCCAAGCTGTATTGTTTTTAATCTTGAACGTTCTTTGAGCTCAATATCCTTCATTGTGAAGTTGCAATTGACTTCGACAAAAGTCTACAAAATTATGCGTGTGTGCAATGCTATGGATGTAATGTTCTTATGGATGCTTAAAATGCATATGCAAAATATGTTATTTTAGGATATTAGAGAGAAATCTCAATCTCTTGTTGTCAGTCTTCATTTTTCTGACGTTCCTTGATTCTTGCCAATCTTGATTTTCTGATCATTGGTTCTTGATTTTCTAGTTCTCAACGGACATTGATATGATATATTCTTTGGGATTTTTGTTTCAGGAGGAAGCTTGATTTTTTTTCTGTTCATTTTGATCTTTAATTAATGTCTTGTTTGCCTCTTAGTGTATTTCAAACTAGTATCTGTTCCATTTCTCGAGTAATGTGGAAGAACCTCTATCAGCTTCCAAATACCTGTACTTTTCATGAAATCTTTGTGCAGCAATACACAATGATATTTTTCAAAGCGAATAAATTGATTTTATTTAAATTCAAATCAAGATGCTAAACAATTGATTTCTTTCAGACAAATGGCAATATTTATTTATGTGGAAAAATAAAATACATGGCAAACATCATGAAATCAAAGATATTCGCTGTTAGATAATTTTGAGTGGAGCTTTTGTCAAGAGGACTTCAAAGATGTTACAATGTTTGGAAGATTGCAAAGTCCCTCCTAAGTTATTAAGTCTCTGAATACTTGAATGTTGTGATGATTTATAGCTTTGATTTGGGACCTCCCTATGCGCAGACCTCGGATCATTATCCAAGTCGGCCTTTTGGGTTTTTAGCTTGGATCCTCCCTTGGTTTCAAGACGCCCTTCGCGGGTTTTCATGTTGGACCCACCTTTTATTTTTCTTTTGTTTTTTTCAATTTAAAGCACCCTTTCAGGTTTTCACTCTAAACTTTTTTTTAATCTTCGACATAAGGCGCTCTTTTTGGTTTTCACCCTAAGCGAAATATTTTTTGACCACATCAGAGTTAACATGATTGGGTAGTTCTGGCCCGTCCATTTCAGTCAAGATTAGTGCTCATTCGGAGAAAACCTTTTTTACTACGTAAGGCCCTTCCCAATTTGGCATCAACATTCCTCTAAAGTATTTTTGAATTGGCCAAATCTTTTTCAGTACGAGATCTCCTCCATGAAATATTCTTGGGTGCACATTCTTTTCGTGTTCTCGAATCATTTATTTTTGGTAGATTTGACCACCGTGAATGGCTTTCATCCTCTTTTTTTATTAAGTTCAGTTGATCATAACGAGTTTGCACCCATTTCGCATCATCCAGCTTTACTTCTGATAGAACCTAGACTGATGGGATTTCAACCTCAATGGGAAACAAAACCTCTATCTCACATGCTAAACAAAATGAGGTTGCCCCAGTCGAAGTCCGCATCGAAGTTCGATAAGAAAACAAGGCAAAAGGTAACTTCTCGTGACAGTGTTTGTACGTCTCAGTCATTTTCTCCACTATTTTCTTGATATTTTTGTTTGCTTCCTCTACTGCCATTCATCTTTGGTGTATAAGCAGTAGAGTTATGATGTTTTATATTGAATTGTTCACATGCAACATCCATCATCCTATTTTTTAAGTTGATTGATTGACATTAACGTATGATGCAACTTCCACCCATTTGGTAAAATAGTCGATTGACACAAGGATAAATCGATGACCATTTGAATCTTTTGGATGGATCTGCCCGATAACATCCATGCCCCACATAGACAAAGGCCAGGGAGTCGTCATCACATGAAGAGGACGAGGTGGGAGATTTATTTTATCCACATAGACTTGGCACTTATGATACCGTCTGGAATAGTTAATGCAATCACTCTCTAATGTGGACCAAAAGTATCTGCATCTCATGACTTGTCTTGCCATTATACGCCCATTTGCATGAGTTCCACACACACCATCGTGTACCTCTTCCAAGATCATCTTTGCTTATTCTGCATCTACACATCTTGACAAGACTTGATCATGACTTTTCTTGTACAAGACTTCTCCATCAAAACATATCCGACTGCCATTCTTCTGATCATTCTTTTGTAAGTTTTAGTAACTTTTTCTGGATAGCTTTGATTTTTGATGTACTATAGAATGTCATGGTACCATGGTTTTTTATCTTCACTTCTTCGATGTGATAACAATGAGTCGGGTACTTGTATGATTGCATGTCGATTGGCATCATGTTAGACTCCCCGCCAGTCTTAAATTTTGCTGCCAAGGTAGCTAAAGCATCTGTCATCTGATTCTGTTCTCTAGGCACGTAATGGAAAGTGACTTTATCAAACTCTTTAAGTAGATCCA